AAAAAATTCATATTTCTGTGCCTGTTTCTTGTTTTTAGTCTCCTCGCTTGTTAATGTGTGATTTTATTTGTTTCTATATGTAGATGGAGATGAACAAACAGCAAGTAACTGGAAGGGAATCTTTAGCATTTCATCCTACCAGCCATATTTCAATGTCGATACCGATGTTGTTGTTGATAGGATCATCAGTTCAGTGTATCCGATGAATGATTTCCATAGAAAGATCGATGCAAATCCTGACATGTGAGTTCCTTTTTCCCCCCTTTTTTTCTGATCCTTCTTACCTATCTTGTACATAGATTAGAAGTTTTGATAAGCATGTATTTCCCAAGCTCATAGTTTTAGTTACATTTTTATTTTTAGCTACATTGTAAGGAATAAGTATGAGAGTTCATTTGTGTGATTCCCCTTTTGCATCACCCACTTGTTTTGATGATGTTAGCTGGTTTTGCCCATTAGTATCTAACTTATAAAAGCAAGGGAATATCCCTTATTCCAAATTCTTATTTTCATGTTCTCCTGTGCTTGGAATATGATTCTAACTCATAAATATGTCTTAAGGGTTAAGACTTGTTGTAACTTGTAAAAATCTTTTCTTCTGAACCAAAATTCTAGTTGTTGGAGATGGAAAAATGGTGAGTTTACCGGTTATTTGCCATACTGATATTAGGGTTAAGACTTGTTGTAGCTTGTAAAAATTCTGTTTGAGTTTCTTAGATCTTTTCTTCTCAACAAAAATTCTAGTAGTTGTAGAAGGAAAAATGGTCATTTTACTGCTTAATTGCCGTACTGACCTACTTTAAAAGGTTACGTGTTGACAGAAGGTAATGGTTTAAAGTTTTCTATTATCTCACATATCTGCGACCATTTATGTCAACATTGAACATTGCAGGTATGGCCCTGTTTGGATCACTACAACACTGGTCTTCATGCTTGCTTCCCTCGGAAATCTTGCTACTTATCTGATACACCAGAGGGATGAACATGACACGGCATGGAACTTTGATGTTACCTATGTGAATTGGGCAGCAAGTATTATTTACGCCTACGCCTTAGCTGTACCAGCTGCATTTTACTTCTTGCTTCAATATTTGGGATCTAATGCAAGCCTAACACGCCTATGGTGCATGTGGGGATATTCTTTGTTCATCTTTATCCCTAGTTCGGTAAGTATGTTCTCCACTCACTATTTACATTTAAAAAGAGCATTTGTTTTACTATGTTTACTATAAATCAGCTATATTTCCTATACCCTTCTCTTCATTTCTACATTGGTAGCATTCAACTTACGCGTTTGTCGGGTACTTTATGACTTTAAATGACAAAAAAAAAAATACTTGTTGATATCTGGGTTCTATAAGTATTCTCTTGCCTGCTCTACAACTTTAACAAAGAGATAATAACGCATAAATTAAGAACACTGATTTAAGTATGTGCACACCAGTTTCCAAATGCATGGAACACTGATTTATGTATGTGCACACCAGTTTCCAAATTTATGTTGTAAAATTTACAGATATCTTTTTCTTTCTTTTGTATATGGAGCCACAAGTCGAATTATGATCAGATAGAACATCAGGGTGGTTAAGGTACAATATGGCTGCATTTGGTTGTGAGATTTAGAGAGCAGGAATTATGATGTCTTATAGATGACTAGTAGTTGTTAGAATATAAAATTATAACCTCAACCGTCAGCACAACTTCGGAGTTTGGGTGTAGTGGCTGGCACTTTAAGATGATATCGGAGCAACCTAGATTCAATTCCACCAAGTCACAAGTTTAAAGTGGACTTAAAAAAATTAATACTGCTGATTGAGCCCAGGTTTCAACCCACGAAAAGGGAGCTCGACCTGTGGGGCTATGTTGGAATATAACATTATAATTCTCAACCCTCACCACCAGTGTTATCAAAAGTGTGCGCCTCGTTGCGGCCCATACACACTGTGATGTGGGGCAGTGGCGAAGCGCCCCGCGTATGATGCAGCAATGCTTTTTAGCACCTTGTAAGCACTCTGCCCAAGGGAGTTTCACACAGGGCGCATGCAATATATAACCTCATATATTTTTGTTCTTTAACATTTCAATCGGGACTTTATACCGGATAACCCATGTCCGAAGAAGAAAAAGAAACCCATGAGGCCAATACATGATTGAGGAAGACACATACAAATTTGGGGTGCCTTGCCCCCCTTCCCCCCTCCCAAAAAAAAGTTATTTACATAGTATGTCCTTTGCTCATATTACTCCCCAAGACCTTAAATCTTTATCATTTTGCAATAGTCCTTTAGTCATTAACATTACTATTAGCTCCCTCCAAATTCTTTATGCTATTCTAAAGTTAGTCCATCAAATCATTAAAATTACTATCAAGTCCTCCAATTCTCATGAATTGTTTCAAGTTAATCATAAGAACTTGAGACTTAATTTCAATGTCAATGATTTGAGGGACTAATTTTCAAATGCCTTAAGAATCGGAAAGCCTATTAGCAATTTTGAGATTTGAGGATCAATTTTCAAAATATTTAAAGATTTAAGGAACTAATGTTGAAAAAAACTCACCACTGATTGAGGATCCTAACTCGCTCTCATTTACTATTTGGTTTTGCTTCGATATTAGTCTTGATATGACTTTTTATTTGGAAAATGATGAACTTTACTACTGTGTTGAGTGTGTTAGCATTATTAAGATCTTATTTTGTGATTTGATAGTAGATACTAATTTTTTGTCATAATTTTTATGTGAAAAATAATAAACATGTTCTTTCATGCTTGATTATCTATCTTGAAAATTTATGTGGGTGTGCCCCTCACTTCACTCGGGCGCGCACATTACTTGCTCCTTGCGCATGTGTGCGTAAAGGGACTTTGTGCCCCGCATCGCGCATTGATAACACTGCTCACCACACCTGCAAGAAATAAGGACTAAAGAATAGCTGATTAATATTAGATGGTTTCGATGAGTGGTCTTGATGGTTTTGAGGTAGCTCCAAACTCATCGCTACATCATATTTTGCTGTCAAACCTGTGAGAATAAGATGAACTCTGGAGCTAACTCTTGTTCGAAACAGCGGTGACATGTATATAAACCCTTTCATTTGCAACTGGAATATCTTTTTTTTTTCCTTTTTTTGGGTGGTCAATTGGTTGGTCCCAGCAAAGTAAATGAGATGAAACAGAAACGACTAAATTTGGATAAAAATAGTATGCTCTAATTTGGGTCAACCATGGTTTCTACTAGTCTTAATATGTACACTTCTGATTTCAACACATACAAAAAGGTTTTCTTTCCTTCCATAAGCTAATTGTTTGCTGTTTTGAACAATTTAGCTGCTGTTGGTCATTCCTGTCGAGCTTCTTCGCTGGATCATCATAATACTTGCTGGCTCTGCGTCTTCATGCTTCATCTTTCTGAATTTAAAGGTCTATACTCAGGGAAACAATGATCTCATGGTGTTAGTTGTTAGTGCCTCCGTATTGCAATTTGCTCTCGCAATTTTCATCAAAGCTTTTTTCTTTGTATGAGGCGATATTGGATGGGTTTTTGGGTGAGCTTTCTTTGCAATTTGTGACCTTTTGTCATGTATAATGAAACTTCTGTTGATGGTTTACTGTGATATTTTCAACCCAGAAATGATATGCGTATACGTATTGTGGTACCTATTTTGTGAAGCGACTGTAAATTTGATAATGTATATACATCCATGATTTTCTTTATACAAATGGAACAATGATTGTGTACAAGAGAAAATTGTACGGGATTTTTAGAAGGATTCAGCTACGCTTGCTGTAAGAGCAGGGAGCCACCCAAAGGCTCGCCAATAGTCCGAGAAAGTAGATACTTGCTCCATGTAACTTTACTATGAGAACCATCTCATTTTTAAATATTTGTTGCAAATAACAAAGAGTATTTATAATTACCATTTAGACTATCAAATAACAAGAATGCTTATAATTATCATTTAGCCTATCAAAGTATAGTCCTCTCTCTATATGATTAGTGTTTTTCATGAATAATTGAACTTATGTAATTTAATTAATTTAAGAGTAGATCAATAACATCCCACTTTCTCTCCTCTTCTAATAAAAATGATGTATTAAGAAAATGCTACCAGCGCCAAACAAAATATTCGGACGAATTTCGTACCCTCTTCAAAATAGAAACAAGCCACCCACAGATGCAGTACTGTGGATCTTTATTATTTCTTACAATATTAGATTCTACACGTTGTAAATTCGTCATTTTGGATTTCTGGATTTCGATAATTATAAATTGGTTTACCGATGGGTCCCCCCAACAAAAAAAAAAAAACAAAACAAATTTAACATAAAAAAAGAGTCATATTTCATGACGACAAATCATTTCTGGACAAACGCCTTGAGATTCTCGAGCCAACGCAAGTACTCGCGACTATCTTTGTTGATCATGTACTCGTGCAAGAAATTAGTTGTGATGGGAGTAACGCCTCTAAGCTCCAAGTACTTGTGAAAGGCTTTCTGCAAGTTCTCATCCAAATCACTGACAAAAGCAACGAAAGCAAGTGTTTATTAGTCCTTCACATAAAATTCTCATCATAAACAGCAAGGATTGTTAGCACTTGGACCCTCCATCAAACAAAGTTATTTTCTCATTATCCGTATCTAAGGTCAATGTGTTACAGAGAAATCCTCTGATATTTCAGTCTTCGTGCTAATAAAAATATAAGAGTAACAAGTGACTAACATTTCTACAGCCTAGGAAATCTGCAACTATCTCTAAAGAAAAAGACTTACTTAAAATCAGGCCCTTCGTAAGCAAGGGTTTCCTCCGGATCCTTCTTCAATCCATCTTCTCTAACCGACATGGCATCGATCACGATTTCATCAGCATAAGCAGTGCACATGAACTCCAAGCTCGGCCCTTGTCCTTTGTTGACGCTGACAGTCAACGGGATGCTAGATTGGCTTGGGCTCGCTCCGTTATCACCTTCTTCATCCTCATCTTCGTTGTCATTGTCCCTATCAGGTTCTTCTCCAGTCACGAGACTAGGCATGGAGACTGTAATCTCGACGTCCTCATCTTGATACTTTCTTTTTAGGGTGATTATGTTCTTTCCCTTCTCGTCCTTGATCTCAAAAGGAAACCCTTCAGGTATTTCCTCAACCTATTCAACAAGATGAGCAGAAATAAGAATCTCATGATCGACGGGGAACTAAGAGTTAGGATTAAAAATAAATGCATTGGTAGTATTAAAGGCCCACTAACCAATTAGACCAAAACTACAGAGTTGTTGAGAATATCGAGGGTTATATTTTTATATTTTTACATGTCCCTACGGATCGCGCGTCCTTTTTATGAGCCAAAATCTAGGTTGCTCTGATGCCATCTTAAAACCCCTCTAACTATTACACCTAAACCATAAAGTTATGATGAGGATTGATGATTATGTTTTTATATTTTAAAAGTAGGAAACTAATACCGGATAGCAGCTTATTTCTATAGAGGATAAAATGAGAAAATCAAAGGAGATGGCTTAAAACAATGGGTTGGAACTTGGATGCACACAATTAAGGAAAACATTATAATGGTTAATTTTACGAAGAACTAAGCGCGTTTCCATCAATTCAATAGACATTCTACTGATTATTGTTTACTAATCATCAAAGATCAAAAGTCCGGTGATTTAAAATGGAGCCACTGAGCTGAAAATAATAGCTTGAAACTAAAATTAGTATCACATTTTTGAAAAAATATGTCACCCCAAGAAGATACAGAAAAAAAAAAAAATTCTAGCAAATTACTTGCCCATCCAATAAAGTTTCTACTCAAAAAAAAAAAAAAAAAAAAAAAAAATTCTAGCAAATTACTTGCCCATCCAATAAAGTTTCTACTTTAACCCTTAAAAGAACAAGATAATAGACTTCAATTAACATAAAAAGTCTAAACAACATCTAAAAGTTGAGGAGAAAAAAATTAAAAAGATTAGGAAACTGGGAGCAGTACCCGATCGTGATCGTCACACTCTTTAGCGCACTTGATCTCGGACTCAATAACCTTGACGAGCTCAGAGTCACTAGCTACCGAAGAAAAATGAGATCTTTGAGGAGAGAAGCCAACATCGATTCTTGCTCCAACGGCTCTCTGGAGAGAGAATCCCTCGGTTGGCCGGCAGCGGCGGAGTACGGC